CTGTGATGGACTGGAGACCTGTCCAGGTGTCCCTGTGATGGACTGGAGACCTGTCCAGGTGTCCCTCTGTGATGGACTGGAGACCTGTCCAGGTGTCTCGCTGTGATGGACTGGAGACCTGTCCAGGTGTCCCTGTGATGGACTGGAGACCTGTCCAGGTGTCCCCAGCCTCTCAGTGAGACACCTGCTCTCTGTGGCCCATAGGAAGAAGAATCATGAAAAGAACATCCTGGTTTGTTTCAGGTGCTCAGGTCATCGTTTCGTGTTTCACGTCCAAACCTCTTTAATCAACCGTGTATTTAACTTGACACTTTTCTTTCCGTTCATCGATTAGTTTACTCAGTTTGTTTTCCCTCCGCAGCCATGTCCATCATCTTTATACCTGACGAGAACTTCTTTGACGAGAACTACATTGGCGAGAACTCCATTGGCGAGAACTCCACGCTTCCGTACGTCGTGGATCCAAACACGTTGCCATGTGACCCCAAAAGCCTGGAGCCCACAGTGGCGCTCGTCCTGTGTCTCATCCTCGTAGCCAACTTCTTGCTGGCGGTTCCAGGAAACGTGCTGGTGGGGTGGGTCATCGTCAGCAGCAGGCACGTTCTGACCTCCTCAGATGTCTACTTGTTCCACCTGACGATCGCGGACGGCCTGCTGGCTCTGACGCTCCCGTTCTTCGCTGTAGGGCTGATCCGAGAATGGCTCTTTGGTGATTTCATGTGCAAGTTCCTGAGTCTCGTCATGGAAGCCAACTTCTACACCAGCATCATCTTCCTGGCCTGCATCAGCGTCGACCGCTACCTCGTGATCGTGTGCGCCAATGAGGTTGACCGGAGCGACCGGCGGAGGAGCAGCAGGTTCCTCTGTGCAGCAGTTTGGGCCCTCGGCTGGACCCTGGCTCTGTCTGCGCTCTTTAACCACGTGCAGAAGTTCGGTGAATCTGAGAGGTTGATTTGCACGGAAAGCTTTGACCTCGGCAGGGCCACCAGCTGGAGGCTCGCCACCCGGGGGTTCCGACACATCTTTGGCTTTTTGGTCCCTCTGGTGATCATGATCGTCTGCTACGGCATCACCGTCGTACGGCTGATGAACACTCGGGGCTTCCAGAAGCACAAGGCCATGAGAGTGATCATCGCCGTGGTGATCGCGTTCCTGCTCTTCTGGACGCCGTACCAAATAACCATGATGGTGAACACGCTGATCGGGGCCAAGCTGATCCAGTTCGACTGCAGCCGGAGGACGTCTGTGAGGTTAGCGCTGAACGTGACCAACGCTCTGGCTCTGCTCCACAGCTGCATCAACCCGTTGCTGTACGCCTTCGTGGGGGAGAAGTTCAGGAAGAAAATGATGCTGCTCCTGCACAGGAGGCTCCGGCAGGAGAGGAGGTCCGGGTCCACGTTCAGCAGGTCCACGTCTCAGACCTCAGAGGGAGCTGGGACTTTCCTCTGAACGCTGATTTTAGCACAAAAACAAAATGTCCGTCCGCTCATCATGTCCATAGAAATGGGGATAAATGTTCCAGCTGTTGTCAGTCTGCTGTTTGGATGTTCTCTGCTGCCATCTGCTGAACTTCCTGCTTTGCTTCAGCTTCCTCTGACTGTGTGTTCAGCTTAGAGCAGATGATCTGAAACTATTTAAGTCCTCAGGTCAAAACAACAAGCAATATTTGTAACGTGAATAAAAATGATGCTTTAATAAAAACGTTGGTGTGGACTGTTCTGAAGTGGACTCTGAGTCCTGACCTGGATCCTGTGCAAGGAGCTGAAACATCTGTAAAGAGAACCTTCAAACCTGAGACAGCTGGAGTCCAGAACACCTGCAGACAGGTGGACCAGAACACCTGCGGTCAGGTGGACCAGAACACCTGC